TCAAGCAATCAAAATTAATTTCTCTCTCATCTCTCCTCTCACATTCTATTCATCAATCAATCAACAAAAAATAAATAAAAAATTACAAATCATCCCAAAACTATTTTCAAAACTCATAGTCAAACAAATTCTCTCTTTTCATTTCAAATCATGATTCAAAAACTCAAAACACAACTCCACACTCAAATCATAATTCTAAAACTAAACCAAACGGACCCAACATTTTCACATTTTCTTTTACTTGTAAAAGAATATCTAATAGCATCAGAAAGAATTATGTTTTAAACATTTTAAACATCCCTAGACCAAGTATAGCCAGAAGGGCTGCAATTTTGGCTCAAAGATGGCTTTCGGCCCTGAAGGTTATACAATAATTCTTGCTTCATGCAGGAGAACTTCACAATGAATCTCTAATGCTTTTTAACCCTGGAGAAGCACTTCCACTTAGGAAAATTGATATTTCCTTAACCAGTTACAATCATCAGTTGCTCACTATGCCTGGGCCCTTTTAAAGAAGGCAATGATTGTTTTGATTATGTAAATACCACATCCACTAGGTCCGTGTAATTGAAAACCAACATTTGGCCAACCATGAGAATGGTTGATTTTTGAAGTTGATCATGAAAAGAAAAAGATAAGCTGCAAAAGATGGAAGGCTAGACCATAGATAATTGATATCATCAAGGTCTCCATTCCTCAACACAACAGCTTAGCTACTCATCTTGAAGTGGTCCAAGGGCAGTACAAAATCAAACCAACTATGTCTTGTGTCCTAATCAATTGGAGTCGGCTACATGAATCATTTTCTGACATTCCTCACTAACAAACCAACCTTTGTGTCCCAACCAATGTTGGATAATACCTACCTTGCAATCTTTGTTTGTTATGAAGGGAAACACAACTTTGGAACATTTGATGCCCTGTCTGAATTAGTCACTAGGCTTTACAACTTCAGAATTCATCCTATTAAGAGCAGTCGTTTTCCAAATGCATTTCTCTCGAGAATGCAATGATATGTCCATATTGTAAGTTTTTGAAGAAATAACTTGTATATTTTAATATGTTGTAATACAAAGAGTACATCATCTTATATAAAACTCTAACCCTAAGACTAAAAAAGGAAATACGAATAATGCTTAATTACACATAATATTTACACAATCTCATAATATATGTAATAAATACACTAATATATTCTCACACATATTACATGCCTTTGATTTGCAAATGATGGAAAACCCTTCGATACACCTTGTTACGCATTTTTCGGGTATATGTTGCGCACTTTTGTAGCAAATGTTACACAATCTTCTATAGAGTTACGACAATTTATGGTTCAAAAATGAAGTTAAGCATTTTTGTGGTAATGTTGTGCATTGTTTCATGGAAACATTTTTAATCCAAAATGTGCAATATTACCACAAAAATGAGTAACATTGCAACAAAAATGTGTAGCTTCATATCTAAACCATAAATTTCCATAATGCTACCGGAAGATTACATAACATTTGCCACAAAAGTAACATAACTAGAATAAAGTGCACGAAGGTGCATATTGGTGTGTACCAAAGGGGTTTCCTAAGTTAAAAAGCATTTTATTCAGTCAATCGCCAGTTGCAAGTTAGCTGAAAAAACAAGTCTCAGCTACTAAGGGCCATCTAGACAAATTCTTTCTCACAATGCAGACCATCTCGGGCATATCTTAAAAGAGACTACTTGTAGCAATGTAACTGTAACAAAATCTCAACCACTAACAAACAGAGCTAGACAAATTTTTGCTCACAATTCCAATCCAAGGTATATCTCCTTTACATAACAAGCAATCTTGCCTTTACATATCACAAAAGAGACTGCTTGTAGCAGTGTATCTGTAACAAAATCTCAACCACTAACGACCAAAGTTAGACAAATTTTTGCTCACAATTACAATCCATCTAAGGTGTATCTCCTTTATACAACAAGCAATCTTGCCTTTGCTACCAACCATAACAGTAGATTTTATCACCCCCTTTATGCTTTCATGCCCCCAACTTGGATCAACACTCATTCACTCCTTTGTACATTAACTAGATTTCAACATTCTAGAGTTTAACCTTTATAATCAGCTAAGAAGCACGGACACGTGACACGACACAGACACACGGACAAGCAAATTTTCAAAAAATAGGGGACATGAGTACATTTTCAAAATTTTTATGAAGTATTGAAAAGTAATTAAAAAAAAAGCAAAATAACATTAACAAATATTTTAAATATATATACAGCTAGCCATCATCTATTCATCAATTCCAGCACTTTACCCAATAAAATAAATTCAGCAATTTCAAGAAATTTATATTTTCATCAAATAAAATTAATTTGTTCTATGCATGTTCAAGAAAAGAGGGCCAATACTAAAAAATAGAGGGGTAGCAAACTTTTGTTCACTTCTCCAGTGGCTGACCTTATAAAAGGGAAAAAAAAATCAAATTTAACAAATATATAATTAAAGAGAAATGAGAGAGAGGGGGGGGGGGGACAAAGAAACAGAGGAGAGAAACAAAAAAACAGAGAGAAGGCCAAAAAAAGAAAGAAGAAAAAAGCGAAGCAGAGAAGAAGAACGAAGAAGAGAAGAAGAGAGACAAAGAAATCTACCTACGATTGCTTCAATAGGGCCCTTCAAATGCATTGACAGCTTTGCCTAGGGTTTACAGAGCGAGCGACTCTCTCTCTCTCCCCCTGCAGTGTCCCAAACGTACTGCAAACATGTTCCTCGAGTGTCTGAGCATGTTTGCAAAGTGTCCGGCTGGAAAAAAAAATCAAAAAAAATTCCGGACACCTTAGACAGAGTGTCCACCATGTGTCCTTGTCCTACACGTGTCGGACATCCATACACTGCCTTCAGAGAGGTGTTCATGCTTCATAGATAATCGGTTTTCATGCATCTTGTTTCCTGTTTGCACTACTTACAATTTCTACAATAGAGTATTTTGGCTCTTATGGTCCATTTGAGAAACTAGGAGAGAGAGAAAAAAAAAAAAGGGATTAGGTAGGAGAGAGAAGTAAAGAGAAGAAGAGAAAGAATAGTGGTATCCTCATTGTTTATATAATTTGAGAGAGAAAAGATTGTGCTAAACGTCCCCTCTTGTTTGGGAAAGATCGAGGACGGAAAAGAAAAGAACAAAAAGATTCATTATGTGTGTGTGTGCGTGTGTGTGTGAGAGAGAGAGAGAGAGAGAGAGAGAGAGGGAGGGAGGTAAAAAGAAGAAAGAAATAAGGAACTAGTTGCATCAATGCTCATGTTAGACCTCTAATTTTGTCAACCAAGGATATTAAATGGTTGACTTATCACACTTATGAAATGTCTGGTACACTGAAATGGAGTGCTCATTCTAGCTTCATATTTCCTTTCTTTTGTTTGGTACAATACAACTTACGTAAGTGGGAATACCTACTCCATCCTCAAAGCAAAGAAATAGACATTCTATTCCATCATGAAATCACCCTAAAACATTATATGTTGGCCTTCCAAATGACTGAAGAGTATGAACATACAAAAAATATGTGCTGACAAGATTCAACAGCATCCCCACACAACATATATATGGGATCAATCTCCATTCCCCCCTCTAATAATCTATCTCTGGTAGACAATTTACCATGACAACAAAGCAACAATATAAAGGCATATTTTGGGATGGTTTGGTTGAACCAAACAATCTTGTATAGAGTGTCTTAGACTAGTAGAATACAATCGATTTGACAAGGGCATCCAAACTACTTTGTCCAGAATATCAATCATAGGCTTTATAGAAACTGAAGTATTAAAGAAACATATCGGTTGATAAGACAATAGCAATGACAATTAAAGCAAAATTTTTAATGGAGAGAGTGAGAGAGGGGTGAACTAGTAAGGCTGAAAATTTCACTGTTACTAATGATAAAGGTTGTTGCCCGAGTAAAAAAGAAAGTTCAAAGAATTGGTTATGAAGGTGAAAGAATTGGTTGATGTTAATAAAAAGGTGTACGAGAAGAAAAATGATTGTACAGAGCTTTATGAGACTTGCAAGAGTAAGAAGCAAAAGGGAAAAGAAATTTTTTTCTAGGATGGAAAGGGAATTGAAAAGGATTCCATGTTCAGTTTGTGCAAGGAGAAGGGAAAGGTTGCGTGTTCAGTTGAGCAATCCTATAATGGGGGAATAGTTTTACGCAAGACACTTGTTAGTAATTTTTTTGTTTTCATGGAAGAGTTCACGAGGCAATTCAAGGAGAAGCATTCAAAAATCACTCATGTTGTTGCTGTTGGTTAAGTTGGTGGAGATAAATAGAAATCGATGTTAGAAATAGAGCAAGCACCTTATGTGAAGTTGGTGCAATGTTGTTGCATTTTAGTTGTTGGGTCTGGATGATTTTTGTGTCTTCTATTAAGGATATTGGATCTCTTTCATTCAAACTTCTTGTCCATTTCCCCTTCACCCCCTTCCCTTCTTTTTCCTTGTCTTTGATTGTCTAAAGGTTGAGTACCCTCAACACATTCTCTCATACATTTTTCTTTGTTCAGATAAAAAGAATGAAAACAATTCTAACGAACAAACTCATGGTTTTAGCCATAGTTGTTAGAATCTTACGATTAATGATTCAATACGAGTTTCACGAAATACAACTCGATTCGTGCAACAAAATCTTAAAAATAAAAATAAAAGATCAACCAATTGTACAATTTAGTTATCTTGATATTTATTTCATTTTAAACACGGTGTATTTTTATATGTATATAAATATAAGTATAAAATTATATATTATGTTAAATAAAATGAATCTAACGATTCACGATTCGATACGATTCATGACTCACTATTTTAGCAAAACGATTCACGATTTGATTTGTGATTTGACAACAATGGTTTTAGCGTTATTTGTTTAATTTCACGATCAAGTTGCAACATGAAAAACACGAGGCAATTTAGGTATATGCACAAAAAGACACCAACATTATATATGTTTGAAGATGTGTAACTTACTTGTGCATACAGTACTTGTACTCCTGGCTTCTGAAATAGTCTTTCTCTCCTTCTTCTAACTGATAACAGAACAGGCAACATTACATGTTGAAGAAAAAACTACATAAGCAACAAATCACCAGGGTCCTAAATGAAATTAAATGTCTCGTACCGGGTCGCCCTCATAAATGAGCTCAAAACAAGTAGGTGAAAGACACCGCAAAGCACAATTCTCCTTTGCTATCATCGAAGACTTGCATTGCCAACCCCACAATCCACTATATTTGATTCAACCAAAAAAAAAAAAAAACATAATCCACCATTTAGAATCAAATTGGTAAAAAAATGTAAGAATTACACATAGCAAATCTTATATACATATGCTTCTTAACTGAATATTAAATAACGAACAATTAAAAAAAAAAAAAGAAGCATTTTCATTGTTGTTTGTTAAGAGAATCAAAAATAAAACAATTCAAATTTCTCAAATTTGCAAAAAAAATTGTCGAGAAACATTACAAATACCTCTCGATGTCTTCGTAGCACTGGTTTTTCTTTTCTCTGATCTCATTGTCCTGTGTTTCCGAGAAAAGGGGACAACAACAATACAAAAAAGAATTAAAATACCGAAATAGCACAAACCGTGAATACTGTTTGGATTGATAGAAAAAATAGAGGAAAAAGTACCGAAATTGGGTGGCGGCGAGACTTTGCGAGGGCTTGATTAGGGACGATCGTGAAGAAAACAATTGCCCAAATAGCACACACGCTGAATACTGAAATTAAGGACTTGTGATGAGCCATTGGATGAATCGAAATCTTCTTCTTTTTTTCAATGGAGTTTAATGAATTGAATTTACACGCGATTTTATTGCGTATATTATTATTTTGGATAAGGGAAATCTATTTACAAACCATTAAATTGCTCAGTACACACCAATTTTTTATTTTTTATTTTTTACAATCTTGTTCCTCATTGAAATTACCTAAGGACACTACAATCCAAACCTCTCCATCACCGGCAGTTGTTGCAAATTTTGCCACTGGCACACCGTTGCAAACCTTCTTCGTTTCTCCTTCTTGTTCAACCCTAACCCTAGCCACAACCAATCACCGTGATCAACTGCAAATCTCATCCTTCCGCCGTTGCAAAACCCAAACCTACCCCTTCTACCGCTGTCACCACCAACCTTCTTCATGTTTTACTTCTTTTTTGCCGCCACTAAACCCTAACCCAACCCCCACCCTTGCTGCAACTCCCCTCCCCCCGCTATCCTCCTCCTCATCATGAACCCCCTCCCCCATCACGAACCCCCCTCTAGCCCTTCTTCACAAACCCCCTTCTTCACCATTGCTGCTCCATTGCAACCCTTAGATCTAGGGTTTTCAAATCTAGGGTTTGGAAGGAAGAAGAAATATCGTGGGTCGCAAATGTGGAGGTCGTCGAAGGGAGCTGCGATGGCGGTGGTTGCAAGCCTGTGGCATTAGGGATGGAGAAGGGGGCTAATGGGGAAGGGAGGTAGCAACGATGAGGGGTGACGGCGGCTGTGAAGGGTGGTGGGTGGCGGGTGGCAGGAGGTAGCGAGGGTGAGAGGCGATGGGGCTGGGGAGATAGCGAGGGGCAGCGACGGTAGAGATGGTGGTAATGGGTGGTTGTTGAGGGTTAGGGTTAGGGGGAAAAAATGTTGAAGATGAGGGTCTTTTAGGAAATTTGTGGTATGAATTGAGAAAAATGCAAAAAAATTAAATTGTGTGGTGTGAAGTGAGAAATGGTGTGTAATGAGAGAATTAGTGATGTAAATAGAATCTCTTTAGATAAATTGCACTCACATATGGAGAAAATATAAATAGTCATATAATTTTAAAATAATTACACCAATATCTTTTTAGTAGCATTAAAAAGACAGAAACTAATGTAAATAGTGTAAAATCACAAAGATTAATAAGGAAAAACATACATTTCAGAGTAAAAGATATAAAAATATCATTATTTTACACATACAACTATGAATTATTAATAAAAAAAATGAGTTAAATATTAAATTGAGAAAAATGCAAAAAAATTAAATTGTGTGGTGTGAAGTGAGAAATGGTGTGTAATGAGAGAATTAGTGATGCAAATAGAATCTCTTCAAATAAATTGCACTCACATATGGAGAAAATATAAATAGTCATATAATTTTAAAACAATTACACCAATATCTTTTTAGTAGCATTAAAAAGACAGAAACTAATGTAAATAGTGTAAAATCACAAAGATTAATAAGGAAAAACATACATTTCAGAGTAAAAGATATAAAAATATCATTATTTTACACATACAACTATGAATTATTAATAAAAAAAATGAGTTAAATATTAAATGAATTAAAATCTTAAGACAATACAATATAATATAATATAATTATGTTAAGATTATATATTTCAAAATTTTTGATAAAGGTCATAATAATTTATCATATTACTTTTAATGGTCTAATTCTTAAACTGCTTCAACAATATATTATATATATTCCATAATCAAACCGTTCAAGAAGGTAGCACTCAATTACATAACATTTATAGGTGTAAATTTGGCCCGTGGGCCTGCGGCCCACCCAAAGCCCGCCCTCTACTTGGGTGGGCCCGACCCGGCTAAGCCTGGGTCCGAGCCCACCCCCCAGACCCTGGGCCTGTGTGGGATCTCCCGGGGGTACCCTAGCCCGCCCCAACAATTCGGACTCTTGATCTCTTGATCTGATCTCACAAGTGCAATGTGAAATGAAAATGAGTCCAAATCCGGCAACTTTATAGAAAATTCATTTATTGCAAAACATGCCAGAAATAAACTGCATCACTAGATCTCAAAGTCGCCACCTAATTTTTTGGGAAAATAGGGAACCCAGGACTCTTGCCAAATGTCACTGTTCGTCATAACCAAAGATACCTCCGTTCAGAACCTTAGTTATGAGGGGAGAAGGTCATGAATTGAGTACTCCGCTCACCCGATCAAAGGATCGACCTCTACTAAACCATGATATAAGTTTTATAAACAGTATATGCCCATGTTCTGATTTATTAAATAATGCAAAAAATTACGGGAAAAAGAAATTATGTCTTTTTTATGTCAAGTGATTAGATATTTTCTAGATGGACTTTTGAATTTAACTCTAACATCCAAACAATGGTCACTTTTCCAAAAACAAATTCTGAAAATTAACTCAAAAAAGTTGAACTTATAAATTGTAAGATATATTTCAAACCGTATGGACTTCAAGATAGAGAGTAAAGCACAAATAATGAAACTTACAAATTAACAAATCTAAGAGATCATAAATGGTGTATAAATTGATAAATATTACAAACTATACTCACTAATATAAACAGTAATGAAAATTATGAAATTTGTAAGAAGACTAAATATTACAAATTATGCTTACTAAAATAAACAATAATGAAAATTATGAAATTGGTAAAAAAGACCCACTTCAATAATATGATAAGTGTCATATAAATATATAAGAAAATTTATAAAATTTGTTAATTTATATAAAATTACTTAATATTTACATAGTATGATAGAAAAATAATTTTAACAACAATCAATGTTTACCAGCCATCCCTTTGACGTCTAGTGATTTTTCAGCTCACCCAATTAGGGTTAGAAACATGGGCGGCGTTACATATTAACTTATGGGTCAGCTATTCTCATCAAGCTTTAAATTTTTTAACAAATATTAATATTACCCATTATTTTATTGTGGTAACCAGAAATAACGCCACTAGTGATCAGCAAAATTTCGAACAGAAATACAAAGTTTGCCGACTACTAGGTGTAAACAAGCTAGCATCGGCAAACTGTGTGCATGCCGATGGAGTTGTCAAGGGCACATCGGCAACGTACATGTGTGTTGAGATGGAGTTATCAAAAGCGATTATAAGAATAGAGGGTGTCACATCAATGAAAGAAAAATTAATTGGATGGGACATGTTTAGAATAAGGACAATGATGCAAAGGAGAAGAGGACCTATAAATAAGGGATCCACGCCCGAAGGAGAGGTAAGTGAAACACAAAAGAGAGAAAGATAGGACTTGTGATTTTGGAAGAATACTGATAAAATCTCCGGAGGGTTAATTGGCGCACCATCCCGCTGGAACCTATTCTTTGTTTGCAGGAATCTGACGTGAAGTGGATCGTCCTCACCACAGGAGCAAGGCAGAAATTCCAACTCACCACATTTATAATAAAAGATTTTATTATAATGTGTCCTTATGACCTCTGTTAATAAAGGTAAAATACTTTCTCACTCGATCGCATTATGTCATCAATATCATTGCCGTGGTTGGAATAATGGAAAATCAAACAAAAGACGAAGGAAACTTCAAAGGCGATTGGTACACATGACTACGACAAGTCGAATAATCAGTTGATTTTTCTATTTGCACATACATTAATTATTGAAGTAGACACAATTCTTTTATGTAAGTTGGACCTGAGACTCACAAAAAAATATAACCCACCTTATGTGAGAAAGTTATGTCTAATTTTCTAATCAATTTTTATATGTCTAAACATGGCTTCAAATTCGAAGAAAGATGTTCCGACCTCTTGTAGTTCGGGTAAGTTCAATCACCCCTTGGACAAAACATACATGTTAGCGTGCGTTTGAATTCCTTTTATTTCATTTAATTTCATTGAATTAAGACACTATAAAGTTTTACTTGAGTTTTACCTGTTATGATCTTGAGATTGGAATTTCCATGGATGACTTCCCTGTGTTGTGATACTAAACAAATGGTTGACCTAGATTTTGGGCAATGATTCTATATTGAGGCAAACAAGCGTATGCATGTGATGCAGGACAGCACCGTAAGAGCTGTTCTGGGGCAGTGAAAGTACCCGTGAACAGTGTTTAGGCTGTTTAAAGTGCAGAAAATAAAAGAGGGAAAGAAGAAGAAGAAAAAGATAAGTCTAGCAATCACTCCTAGAACTCCTTAGGCATCACACCTAGGGTTTGATTGCATCACACAATCCATAAAGAAGCTTTAAAAGCTCTAAATTCTCTGAAATATCAAGTCTAAATAATTAAAAGCATTACATCATTTACACGGCTTTATATAGAACTAAAAGACTTCCTAAACCAATTAGAACCAAAAAAGGAAACTACTATAATAGTTTAGACTTCCAAAACTAATTTAAAACCAAATAAGAAACATAAATAAAATCTAATTATAAAATTACCAAAATACCCTAAACTAAAATAATAATAATAAAACATGACTCATAAGCCTAAAACATAACTAGCCATGGTCCCAAATGAGGTCCTCATCATCCAATGCATGCCAAATCAAAGCTTGGGCCTTAGAGGCTTCTCTTCCTCGTCTCTTGTACACCTTAAGAGGCTGCTGCCACTTGCCTCCATCAGCATGTTTGCTCAATAAGATGCCAGATTCTAAGTATTTCTCAATCTATTGTGGTTGGTATTCTCCGATTGATTTAGATTAAAAAGTCATTTTCTTGCCCGTATATATATGTTTTGTTTGGTTGGGATGAATGATTTTTGGTCATAATCAAGTTGGAATGTAAGGAGTCAATAATAATCATAACATTATAATGTTCGGTTATTTTCCCAAAAAGGAAACCCTGCATGGAATTCTCATTAATATTGTTCGTGTTTGTTATGTTGTAATGATGCCCTCAATGAATGAAATTTACAGAATTACAAGAAACTAACCAAATCCTATGGTGCACGATTTTTATATTTTATGTTTGCATATTACAATTTATTGAGCATTTTGGGCTATATTTTCTCTATTTTTAAATTACTAGAGGAATAATTATGTGTCTGCCATACATAACTCTAAATTACATATATAGTGCTTATCAGATTAAAGTAGCGTCCACACATGTCTATAGAGTTAGCGACTTTAATCAATTAAAGTAACATAATTCCTTACATCCCAAATTAATTAAGTTAAACCTTAACATCCAGAATAGTTAACTAAATGACATGGGAATTGACTATTTTAGTTGGCTTTTTAGCTTTTTACAAAAAGATGTGAAAAAAAATAGAGAGTGATGTGACAACTTGTAGTAGCTTTTTGGCTAAAAACCAAAGTCCCAAAACGGGGCCTCATCAACACCTAAACTAAATATTCACTACACCATAGTTAACGTTCATATTTCATACATAAATGCTCAAATATGGGGCACTCATAGAAAATGCATAATCCATGATGGTGGGGGCAATGGTGGTGCATCATCTAAAACTTCATCCTTAGCTATGTATGGTAGTGATGTTGCTAGCATTGGTGCTGCTATCGGTTGACCTACCCAATGCTTATCATACAAGACATGTTGAATAATTGTTGAGCTTCAGAGTGACTTTTATTTTTTGTTTTTTATTTTTTGAACAAGCAACAATAGAATTTTATTGATAACAAAAGGTGAAAACAAGGGGAGGACAAAGTCCTCATACATTAACTAAAGATCAAAGCAGTAATCCAAACAGTAAAAATGAAAAAGAAAACATTCCACCACTAAGAATGGCAAACAGCCGCCCAAGTCCTAGAAATTAAAAACAGAGGAATTCCTTTGAAAGGGGAAGACACACGAGACCAAACTGAAGCTAAATGCCTCGCCTTATCCAACATTTTTCCACTTCTGAGTCCTTATCATTAAAAATCCTTGAATTTCTTTCCAGTCAAATGGTATGCAAGACCACAGTGTTTTGGCCTTCCTATTGCCTCCAAACCCACCATAAAAAACTAATAGCATATGCATGCACATCCGCGGAACAACCCACTGAACATCACACAAACCAAAGAGAAGCTGTTATTAAACAAGCGCCACCGAGCAATGAAGAAATAAGTGATCCACCGATTCCACATCCCTCCTACACATTATGCACCATTGAGGACTGAGAAAATGATTGTACCTTCTTTGGAAAAAGATCATTGGTTATAATGCTTCCATGAGCTAAGGACCACGCGAAAAACTTCATTTTATGAAGAACAACCACTTTCCAAATTTTTTAATGAAGTGGAAAAAAAGGAACGGAAGGTACATCAATAATCGTATCAAACAAAGATTACATGAGAAAATCCCCAACGAAATGATGTTCCATACCCTCTCGTCGCTATTGAGAGGAACCAAAGAAACCCTATAAAGCAATGACAGCAAAGAAGCCAACTAAAGAGACTCCACATCGCTTAGATTCCTAAGAAAATTGGAATTCCATGATATTAGTGCCATGGTAGAACATGCCACCAACGCAATAGAAACATTCCAAGCTCGGACCAATCTGTAAAGAAGCAGAAAAACTCTATTAAAAGAGGAATCCCCCACCCACCCATCCTGCTAAAACCGTACACTTTCCCCATTGCCCGCTTTCAAAGAAAAAAATGTAGACACAAGTGGGAGTAAGCGAGAAATGGACTTCCATGGTGATCAACAACTGCCTTTACTAACCACAATAGAGTCTCTACCATTGGCCTGAACACCATACTTGCTCTTAATAATGGAATGCCATATCGATTCACTTTCGATTAGAAATCTCCATAATCACTTGCTCAAGAGAGCAATGTTCCTTGCAACAATATTCTCAATGGCGAGGCCCCCTTTATTTCTAAGAAGAGCAACAAAGTCCCACTTAACTAAGTGGATCCTAAACCCCTCTTTGCATCCTTCTCAAAGAAAGCCTTTCATTAACTTCTCAATTTTCTAGGCAATCCTAACAGAATTTTGTAAAGAGAGTGAATCAATGGCATTATTGAATTGAGATTGAATAGTTGCTGAAGTTTAATTACCTAAGTGTGAATTTTGATTTATAATCGGCTATTAATTGGGGGTGACCATTGGTTCAATGGTTAAGACTTGGCCTAATAACCTTAAGGTTATGGTTTCAAGTCTTGGGGCCACCACTTTGTGCATTATGCTAAAGGTTAGGTGTGTACTCAATCTTTTCCCAGTCCCACTTAACTAAGTGGATCCTAAACCCCTCTTTGCATCCTTCTCAAAGAAAGCCCTTCATTAACTTCTCAATTTTCTAGGCAATCCTAACAGAATTTTGTAAAGAGAATGAATCAATGGCATTATTGATTTGAGATTGAATAGTTGCTGAAGTTTAATTACCTAAGTTTGAATTTTGATTTATAATCGGCTATAAATTACCTAAGATTTTGGCCTATTCACCACCCTCAAGGCAGAAACTTGTCCATCTCCATGAGTTAGCACTAGAGAGGGATATACAATGGGAAGTGAATTCATTAAATGTTGAAGAAAAAAATCTTTTCTTTCATGGTTTTACTAACGATTGAATGTTGCTTTTCATTGCATATGAAGTTGCCTTGGCATCTATCCTTTTTCAACAACTGATATATGTACCGGCACACAACCCTTGACCACTAAAAACCCTAAACCTAACCCTACTACCCTAACCACCAACCCTAAAAACCCCAAACCCCAAGCCTTTAGCAATGGAAATCAATGGTTACTTCCACCCTTAATAAAGAAGAAATTAAAGTGCAAACAATACAACTTATAGAAGTTAAACGTTGTGAAATAACAATGGAACAAACCTGCATGAATCCTCTTTGAAGCCATAACAAACTCTTAACACAAGGAAAAGACTCCCACTGCCAAAAAATAAATAATAAAAAAATCAAATACAATTGTGGGGGAAAATTAGAGGCTCCCAATTGTCATGGAGGACCATTAGAAGAAAAATCTAGTTTCAGACCAAAAAAAACATGTATCACAGTGAGTGAAATTGGGGTATCCATTTCACTAATAAAAATAAGAGGGTACTTGAACAACATATAGTCTGTATCATCTTGATTCAGAAAAACCAAAAAATTGACAGAGGGTGACGATCATTCTGTTTTAGTGTATTTTATTATTATTAAAAAAAATTCACAACAAACCACCCCTAAAAAGAAAAGAATATAATTTTTTGATCATTATGTCCTCTAAACCTCACCTTACACCACTACCACCTCCACTTCACCTACTCCACCTACCACCTCCACTTTACCTACTCCATCTACCACCTACTACCACCTACTCTTCTATATATAGGAATCATTGTAACATTCAATAAATCAACAATTACAAATATCAATTAATAATACAATTCTCTATTTCTCTTTATACATCAATTTTAACAGTATCATCTTGACTCAAAAAACCAAAAAATTGACAGAGGGTGACGATCATTCTGTTTTAGTGTATTTTATTATTATTAAAAAAAATTCACAACAAACCACCCCTAAAAAGAAAAGAATATAATTTTTTGATCATTATGTCCTCTAAATGTGCAACACATAATCATCTCTCTATAGCAGAGGATGGTGTGAGCAAACAATCATGATTAATCGCGATCTGAATCGTAGGATCATACGACCCTACGATCCTAAATTGTCAAAACGATCCAAATCATTGTAGGATCGATATTATAGTAGGATTGCAAGTAGGATCATACGGGATCGTGTAGAATCGTATAAGATCACAGTAGGATCGTATGTTGGATCGTAAGTACAATCGCTAGGTTTATAATTTTTCACCTTATTTTTAATATGTATTATCCTGATTTGTATTTTGACCTAATTTTTAATAGAAAGTAGAATCAATCCGATCCACGAGAGAACCATGACAAAAAAAACACACACACACATAAGACTTTTTCCCCCCTCCTTGCATGCGCTTTCTTAGCAACCAATCAAGAATCAAAGGAGAGCGTAAAAGCTAAAACCCACGCAAAAACAACACGAAAAAAAAGGGGGGGAAATCCTCCTTCAAAACCTCACATCCATCGATCAAATCCAGTAACATCGAAGGCACTACAACGATCTAATCATAACGGAATACGGAAAATAAACCCTGAAAATACAAAAATCTGAGGGATACAAAGAATCAGAATCATTAAAACGCAAAGAATAAACATAACAGTATATATAGTCCAGATATGCAGATATATATATATGTGTGTGTGTGTGTGTGTGTGTGTGTGTGTGTGTGTGTGTGTGTGTGTGTTGTCAGTACGAATTGAAGAGAAGCCGCACCTATTGGAGGAAGAGAGTCGCTAGGGTTTGCTTTCCATCTCTCTCTCCCTTGTTTTTGGGGGGAATCCGATCAAGAGGGAGTGGTGGTGCTGTATTAACCCTCTTTTCACTTTCAGTAGTGCTTGCTATTTCAGTAGTGCAGTAATTAGAGACCATCAAATAAAAATATATATACATATGAAAATATATATACAGGTTTTCAGGCTTTTTTTTTTTATTATTTTAGCTATAAAAAATAAAATAAACTATTTTAATCACAACAAACAAAATATCACATATAACTCATAATCATTACATTCTTCTCTTACAAAAAAAATTTAAAAAGCCAAAAAGTCATTCCCAAGCCAAACTTTTTAACCCAGGTTAAAATAGTCAAAAAAATCAAAAAAGTTAAAAAGCCAACCCACTTCCCAAACGAAAGCTAAATAACTACTTATAATTAAGAGTTCGGATTTTTGAGAGTCATTTTTTTTAAAGTGATTTTAGAATAATTATATGTATAGTTGTTATATTTTTAAAGTTGTTTGATAATCATTTTGTTTTCAGTTTATATTTATAAAAATTTTAAAAATTGTCATAAAACTTGTTTTCAGGCTTAGTAATTAGAGACCATCAAATAAAAATATATATACATATAAAAATATATATATATACATAAATAAGGCACTGTTTGGGAAGAAGGTTTTCAGGCATTTTTTTTGGCTATTTTAGCTATAAAAAACAAAATAAACTATTTTAGTCACAACAAACAAAACATCACATATAACTCATAATTATTACATTCTTCTCTTACAAAAAAAATTTAAAAAGCCAAAAAGTCCTTCCCAAACCAAGCTTTTTAACCCAGGTTAAAATAGTCAAAAAAGTCAAAAAGTTAAAAAGTCAACCCACTTCCCAAACGAAGGCTAAATAACTACTTATAATTAAGAGTTCGGATTTTCGAGAGTCATTTTTTTTAAAGTGATTTTAGAATAATTATTTGTATAGTTGTTATATTTTTAAAGTTGTTTGATAATCATTTTGTTTTCAGTTTATATTTATAAAAATTTTAAAAATTGTCATAAAACTTGTTTGATAATTTTTTTTTGTTTATAAATAGTTGTCTTAGTTTATAAATTTGATGATAAAACGTAAACTCAAAAAATGAGTTTACATTGGTTTTTAAACATAAATTTAAAAATTTTACTAACAAATTTTTTTTTTCAATTTTTTTCCAATTAATTATTTTAGTTAATTTTTTTTTCAATTATAATGTGTATGATCCCATTGTCATAAATAATAAAAAATAAATATAAATATTTTAGGTCTGAACAAACATATTTTTTAGTTTATGTTTTTAAATTTTTTCAAATATTTTGTTCAAATCAAACGCGTTTGTAGTTTATGTTTTTCTAAAAATAAACAAAAATACTTTATAAAATTTTTGTAAACATAAACAAAAAATGTAAACGTTACCACATGCTACCCTAACTTTTGACTATTATATAATAGAATTACATATCATTCATCTAAAACAAAACTGCAAAATCACTTTAGATAATTCAAAGTCATAACTAAAGTCGTAATAAAAACGTATGGTTATTACCTTCGCTCCCAAAAATAAAGATTTGACTTTTATAACCAAAAAAAAATTATGAGTTTTAAATTTTGTCAATTAAAATCCTATATCATTATGTAACAACTTAAAAATTAACACCTATTATATCACATAATTGTGGATCGAATTGTGTGAGTTTTTTTAGGTCTCAAACATTTTCCAATAATGTGATAAGAAAGTTTGGTCCCATTTTGTTAGATATGTAATTACAACTTGACACCTATCATGCCATAACAAATTACAAGTAGATATTTACCATGTCATATTATGGTGGGTTAAATTGTGAACACTCTTTGAAAGTATTAAGGTTGCATTTGGTAACGTTTATGTTTTTTGTTTATGTTTACAAAATTTTATAAACTGATTTTTGTTTATTTTTAGAAAAACATAAACTATAAACGCGTATGGTTTGAACAAAATATTTGAAAATTTTTAAAAACATAAACTAAAAAATATGTTTGTTCAGGCCTAAAATATTTATATTTATTTTTTATTATTTATGACAATGGGATCATGCACATTATAATTGAAAAAAATTAATTGGGAAAAAATTAATTGAAAAAAAAATATTTGAAAAAAAATTAATTGAAAAAAAAATTTGTTAGTCAAATTTTTAATTTTTTGCTCAAAAAACAACGTAAACTCATTACATTTTTTTTCTCAAATTTATAAACTGAGACAACCATTTATAAACCAAAAAAATTATCAAACAAGTTTTTATGACAGTTTTTTAATTTTTTGTAAATATAAACTGAAAACTGAAAATTGAAAATGAAATGGTTACCAAACAGGCCCTAAACATTTTCCTTGTCAATTACAATTTACAGAAATTGTTCCTTATTTTTTTCCCAAAACAAACATTCCTATCAAATTAAATAACGTTACATATTATATGATTTTACTACTAAATTGAATAATATTTTAGTTAGCATGCTATTACAAAAAATTTCGTTACATGATTAATTTAAATTACCATGTGGATAATGCCAATAATATTTCGTATTACTAAATAATTACCTATAATTGTAAATAAGTAAAACATATTACATATGATATAAGAAGATATTAAATATATTTAATGTATGTATAAATGTACATTAAAAAATAAAGGGTAAACTATCAATAGGTCATAATAGTTTGACTTAATTCTCATCAAGTCCTATTGAAAATAAGTTATAGTAAAATCGTTGTTAAAAATAATATTTTGTGACAATTTTTTTCATGTCGCTAAAAATTAACAATTAGTAACATTTTTTTGTCACGTTTTTATAAATTGTTGCTAAAACTTACAAATAGTGACAATTTTTTATAACGAATTTTTCAAACTATCGCCGAAAGTTAAAAATTAGTGATTTTTTTGAGATTATTTTTTTTAAACTGACATTAAAACTTATAATTAATGACATTTTTTATGACAAAATTTTTAAACTGTCGTTAAAAATTAACAATTAGTGACTTTTTTTAATAGTGTTTGATAAAAAATGCCATTAATTCTCACAGGACCTGTTAGACAATAATTTCACCTATTAAGACCTACACATAAGTCTCCTTAAATAAATGTATATAGAGAATTTGCTTATATATATTTGGAGAGTTTTATAAATGATATGTTCAACGAACCCTACAATATAAACGGTTCAATTTATTTAATCTACTATTTCATTCACTTTCAGAAAGAATTTTTTCAAACATAATAATTTCAAATAATATTTAATTAATTGAAATGAAGGCTGAATGCCATTAAATTGAAATGAAATTATTATTTTTTAACCTCTACCAAATAATAACTCCATTATATTATGCTCCCATTAAAACAAACACTACCTTAAAATTAAAAAAAAAAAAATCGCCAACTCGCTTGTGCAAGCACAGACCTAATTCACTAGTATATATATACCGGGTAGGTAGGTCCGTGCAAAACACAGGTGAGTTGGCCTTCTTTTATTTATTTTTATTAAAATTTGTTTTCTTTATTTTATTTTAAGGTAGTGTTTGTTTGATTTAAGAAAAATATAGTAGGATAATCATTTGGTAGAGGTTAAAGAACAATTTGCTTGGTTTGAGTTTTCTAAAAACACTTTTCAGAAAATTCTACTTTCTTGTTTTTCGTATTTCTTTGTTTTTATTGATTTTTTTAATGTTTTAAGCAATTTTTTTAATTTTTAGACACACTTAACATAAATACACTTAAAAAGTATAATTTTTGCGGAATAAAATCTTTAAAAAATTTACTAAACACCAAAAATACAAAAAAAATAAGAAAATTCAATATATTTTCGTATTTTTGTGTGTTTATTAATTTTTTAAAATATTTTTTCACAAATTTTTTACTTTTTAAACACATTTAAGTAATATGTATCTAAAAAAGTTTTAAAAAAAATACTTAAAATTTTAAAAATATTAACTAAAAACAAAAAAATACGTATAGCGATTTCGGTTTTAACCCGACTCTTGTTGTATCCCGGACTCGGGTTTAATGGTTTTATATTATTGGTCATATCTTGCTTTCCTTGTAATTCTTTGAATTTGGCTTTGGGTTGTTGTGGTTGTGTTTGGGACAAGTTGATTACTTAGTTTCCAAACTTTTGTTGCCCAAATTTTTGCTCCTCCGCTCAAGTGACACTTCTTGCGCTAGAGCGATATTTGCAAGCTCTCAGCACTTTTGCAGGCTCTCAGCACTTTTGCAGGTCTGCAAAATTACAAGAAGAGTGTATTCTACACGCGAGCGGTTCTTTCTGCGCTCAAGCGGTCTTTCTTGCACTCGAGCGTTAGTCTGTTATCTGCAAAACTACTGGGAGTGTGCATTCTGCGCTCGAGCATCACTTCTTGCGCTCGAACTGAACAACTCATTGTGTCTGATGCTCGAGCGTCAACTTTTGTGCTCGAGCGGACTGTGCGTATATCAGTTTGTAACAACCACATTTTACATCACTTTTTCTTCTCTTCCTCTATCTAAAACATTTCAAAACCTTAGATCTTGAGTTTCTCTCTCTATAACTCACATTCTCTCTACTTTTTCATCTAGATCCATTGGGTTCTCTACCCATATGCCTTTGTTAAAAAGGTAGTGCATCTCAAGAGCTCCATTTTAATCCGATCAGAATTTGGTTTCGGCGTCTTTAAAGTCTCTCCATCTCTTTCTTTGGTCTTTAAAATTTAAGGTAGGGACTTTTTATACTCTTTTATGATTTTTAACTTAATTATTTGTTGTTGTGCAAGAAATGTTGGGATTTGGAAGATTTTAGACTAACCTAGGGTTTTGAGGGGTTTTTAAATGAAGGTATTGAAAATGGTTATGGGTATGGATATGAGGATGTGTTGTGTTAAATTTGTTGATTTTGACTCATGGGTTGGATTTGGGAAAGAATGGAATTTTGCCTTAAAATGTTTAAATAATGAAATTGGTATTGGAAATATGAAATTGGATGAATGTTTATATAAATGGTGGAGTTGGATGTGTATTATCTCTTACCTATGGAAATTTGGATAATTTGTTTTGTCTTGAAAATTGTATATCTGTTTAGAAAGATCTATTTTGGGCTATCG